CGGCAATGTTTTCTGGAAGTATTCCTGAGCCCATGTTGTGATTTCCATTACAGTAGCATTCCTGTATGTGATGCAGTGCCGTCTAAGGGCCCGAAGATCACGGGCATCCAGTATGGTTTTCCGGCCTTGACTCTTACGCACAGAGATTGTTCCAGATTCTCAGAATCTTTTGATTTGGATGATATTATGCACTGTAAATGATGATAACTTCAAACTCTTTGCAATTTTTCTCTGAGAAACTCCTTTCTGATATTGCGCCACTATTTTTCGCCGCAGCATTGGGGGAATTGGTGATCCTCTGCCCAGCTTGACTTCTGAGAGACACTGCCACTCTGAGAGGCTCTTTTTATACCCAATCATGTTGCCAATTGACCTAATAAGTTGCAAATTGGTCCCCCAGCTGTTCCTTATATGTACATTTAACTTTTCCGGCCTCTTATTGCTACCTGTCCCAACTTTTTTGGAATGTGTAGCTCTCATGAAATCCAAAATGAGCCAATATTTGGCATGACATTTCAAAATGTCTCACTTTCAACATTTGATATGTTATCTATATTCTATTGTGAATAAAATATAAGTTTATGAGATTTGTAAATTATTCCATTCCTTTTTTACTCACAATTTGTACAGTGTCCCAACTTTTTTGGAATTGGGTTTGTAATTAACGGCAAATAAGACAGTTGTAGTGGAACGTTGCACTCTTTTTCATACTCAACATGAGTAAGAGAAAGACTGTGGAATCGGTCACAGAACATGCATGATTGTCTGTTTGTACAGGTCTGAAGGTTTGATGTGGGAAGTGGAATTGTAAAAGGAAATGAAAAAACTCATAACTCATAAGACAGAAGCACTGATGGAACTGGACAGACAAACAGAACTTCCCCACAGAAGGCATTTGCACTTGTCCATTAGCAGTCCATTGACGGAGAGGGATGCGGTGTGGGAGCTACTGCAGCTGTGGTGAGAGTTTTGTTCTGCTTTCACAGAAGGCAGATTGTTGACAA